CGCATTCGATGAGCGCGCACGACATGCTCCCCCCGCATCTTCCGCCCCACTTGAATGCGCACGAGATGCACATGCAGCTGCACGCGCACCACGCCTACCCGCACGGCCCCACGCGCCACCCCTCGCGCACGCGCCTCCCGCCCGCGCAGCCGAAAAGGAGGGTGGGGTATTACCCCGCGAGTCCGTTGCCGAGTATGTTGAGCGCGGCGTCGACGGCGGATGCGAATGTGAAGCAAGAGGAAGAAGAGGAGGACGCGGGTGAGCAAGGTTCAAATGAGGATGGTGACGCAAACGAGGACGCACCGGACGAGGAAGCAGGCGCGGGTGAGGAGATGGAAGAGGACGATGAGGACTTCCACGACGACGCCGATGCGGAGCCTCAGGAAGAAGAAAGCGTGTCCCCCACCCGGCGCCGCCGTCGACAGCACTCCCGGTCCCAATCTTCGCATTCTTTGAGCGCGTCTGCGAGCGCGTCGTTATCGCCCTCCGCGTCCGCTTCACCATCGCGCGAGCGAGGTGAGTGTAATCGTGATTGTAATCACGAATGTCACGAATGTAATGCTCAAGCGGATACAGGGCGGGAACGCGATCGTGCTGAACGAGATACAGGTAAAGACAGGGATACAGATAAAGACAGGGATAGCGGGAGACCGGGGAAGAAGGCGAAGTTGGGGCATGGGAGGGAGAAGGAGGGCAAGGAGAAGGAGGGGAAGGAGAAGGTGTGTTTTCTACTCTCTTTTTTTGGGATTGGTCTTTTTTTTGCGCGTTGGGCTTCGGGCGCGTTTATTAGCCTTGCCCGTTCCATTTGTCTTTTTGCATTTGCGCACTCCTGCATCGACGTTTACTCTCCCTTCCGTGTTTTCCTGTCGACCTCTTTGCGCGCTCTTCCGCTTGTTTCTTTCCTCCCGCACTCGCTCGACCTCCCTTTCTCCTCTGCACCCCTCCGCGCGCCCCCTCCCCACTTTATTCCACCCCATTCACCATCGTCTCTCCCCTCTTTTTCTCCATTTTCACTTTCGCCTTCCGCACGCGCCACTTTCTCCCGCCGTCCCTGTTTTCTTCCCCTCTGCCGTCTCCGCTCTTCGCTCTTCTCCCCATTTCTCTTGATTCTCCACTCTCCTTGGCGTATTTTTGCCTGGCGTATCATTTCCCACTGTTTCCCCTTCCTCCATCGCCTCCCACTTTCGCCTCTGCATCCTCCTCTTCCTTTTGCGCATGCGCCCCCTCCTTGCTCCTTTTCATCTTCATCTCCTCAATTTTTTTTTTTTTTTTTTTTTTTTTGGGGCGCTGCGCATCACACTTTTCTCCCTGCGCGACCTTTTGTCTTTGTCTTTGACGCGCGTGCGGGGTTTTGTATTCGTCCCCCCTTCCTCCTTTCGCCCAATTCCATTCCGTCGTCCTCTTTTTTCATCTACTTTGGCCCTCCCTCCCTTTTGAAAATATGTTTCTTGTTTTTTGTGTGTTCGTTCATTGCCATTGCTAATCTATGCACAGAAATCCAAATCCGACAAAGACAAGGACAAGGACGCGAAAAAACCGCCCCTCGCGTGTCTCTTCTGTCGCGGGCGCAAGATCGCGTGTGGGCCGCCTCCTGGACAAGGAGCGGGAGCGGGAGGGGGGCAGGGGGCGTGTGGGTGAGTCGTCTCGAATTCCTTACACTCCACATTTCTTTTCAGTTTATTCCCCCCATTTTCGCACATTTCCTTCCTCGCTCCTTCACTCAGCATTCCGCATCTCGATTTACTCGCGAGTTCACTCGTACCACCACTCCTACCCTTCACCCATGACGTTTATACGTACTCTGTACGTCTCCCCGAACGCCTGCTCTTCATTTTTGGGGAGCTGCCTTTCGTTGGGGTGGAGGACGCACTCTTCTCTTCATTTCGGGGACTTGCGTTTTGGGGACACCGAACGCACTTCCGCGGGCCTGCGTATGCGAGATGCGAGGTGTGGGCGTTGGTGTAATGGGGTCCTTCCCGTTCACTGGCTTTGCTTTGCTTTCATCCGCTTGCGTTTCATTTTGGTGGGCGAAGGCGAAGGTCGTTGCGTCTTCGTATATGCGTCTCTTCGTCTTCCCACTCGTTCACACCGCGGCGTGGCGCGTCTTGCGTTTTTGGGGTTGCGTCTCGCTGTTGCTCCTTCCCCGCGGGTTCGCCCTGGATATGGGGTTCGGGATTTTGGGGTCCCGCACAGGACGGGGCGTGCGTCCTTCTGGCGCGTTGCGTTGCGTAAATTTGACGCGCACCCTCTTCTTCCCGCTTCTCTCTTCTCGGTTTACGGCCCACGTCGGACGTCGGACGTCGGACGCACGGGTGCCTGTGTCGTGTGTCGTGTCTACGGCTTCTGTCACCCCGCGTCGCACCGCGCGTCTTGCGTCTTCTAGGTGACGTGGAGCTGTGACCCAGAAGACGTAGGGCGTGTCCGCACAAGTGCCTCGTCTTCTCGGGAAGATGTCGATGGTGCTGCTGCCCGGCGGCAAGTGAAGGGGAGGGGAAGACGTGTGACGGGCAGGCGGGTGCGGGTGTTGCGAGGGCCGGCGTTCATTCCTTCGCCCTTCCCTTCCCCGGTATTCATAATTCATTTCGTTCATTATCCATTTCTTGGGGTTGTGCGACGTAGCGCGGCGGGGAGGCTTGTGAAGGGAGGCGTTGTGAAGGGAGGAGGGATGTGAAGATGACGCGTGCGTGTGCGCACAAATCCTATCTTTGCCTCGATTCGATTCGAGCCTCCCTCCAATCATCGTGCTTCGATTCTCCCGTTCCAACTTCCCGTTATTTCGATCCTGATGCGATGCGATGCGAAATCACACCGAGATCCGTTGAGTTTTGGTCAAGCTGAAGTTGGTACCAAAACCTGTCCAGGAATTTTCCCATTGGGTCGGCATCTTCCGGACCACTAGGAAATTTCCCGGATAGGTTTTAGCATGAACTACGGCTACACCAAAACTCATTAGATCTCGGTGTGAATATTGGGTCGGCGATTGGATCCTGTTTTTTTTTTTGAGGATGATTCAAGGCTCGATGGGGCCCTCCCGCTTCATCCTTCGTTCTTGTTCTCGTGCACTTTTCGTTCTATTGCACTGCGATTCACTCCTCCCTCTTCTTTTATCTCTTCACTCTTCACTCTTCACCCAAAAAAACACATACTAACGAAATATTTTCATTTCGCAGCCAATGCCTGCGCCGCGCGCTCAAGTGCGAGTACCCGGCCGAGAGCCGGCGGGGGATGAGGAAGAAGAAGGGGGAGGTTGGAGTGGGGGTCGGGGCCTCGAGTGGGGGTGCGTTTTTTTCCTCGTTCTCTCTTCCGTCGTTTCTCGTGTTTCCTCCGTTCATATGATACTGACGCATTCCCCTTCTAAAGGTCCCGTTGCCTCCACTTCCTCCTCAAGCACGCTCGCATCCACCTCCACCCTCGCCTCCACCTCGAGTCTAAGCTCAGGCTTGGGCTCAAGCTCGGGCTCGACGCTCGCAGCCCTGGGCATGGGCTTCGACGCCGTCACCGGCGGCGTCGCTCCCTCCTCCAGCGTGGGCGGGGGCGGGGACGGCCTCGTTTCCGTCATGAGCTCGGGCGGTAGCGAGGGGATGGCGCCTCTCTCCGTGCCGGTGATGGGGATGGACTATGCCATGGACCATTTGGACGCCCCGATGCAGATGGACGCGGCGTTCACGCCCATGCCGACGCCGACGCCGACGCCGCTGCAGATGGGCGGTAGCGGCGTGTTCTCGACGGAGCAGCAGCAGCAGCCGCAGCGGACCCGGGATCCGCGGTTGGCGTCGGGGGTGAGGGACGCCGGGGGCGGGGCGGCGGGGAGGGTCTAGTGCGCGACGGTGGGCGTTGTCGTAGTTGAGCGCGCAATCCCTATGCCTGTCCCTATCCGTCCCTCCGCGTCGTTTTCTCTCTACCCACGCGAACGCGTTCGTCGCCTCCTCGCCGCCTTTTTGGGCGCGCCCCTCTTGCGTCGACGCGCCTCCGCCTCCCCTCTTGCTTCGCCTCGAACGAACGAACGAACGAGGCGCTCTCTTGCTTTGCTTTGCCTCTTGCTCTGCTTGCTTTTTTGTCTCACCTCTTTGCATGCTCTCGACGCCCTCCCCTCCCCCACGCACTCCTCGCACTAAAAATCAGCTCGCTTAATGACGACACGTCCGCTGTAACCAACGAACACGAACCCGCTTTGCTTTATTCACCTTATCGAACCGAACACCGAATCCGAACCCCGAATCCGAATGTTTTTTAAACCGACCGAAACCGACCGCTACTCTTTTTTAAACCCCGCTTTGTTTAAACCGAATCGAATGAATCCGAATCCGAATCCGAATCCGCATTGAACTCGATACTCGATACCTGTACATATGATACCACCACTTGCCCGCCCTTACCCCGCTCTCGCTCTCGCTTTATCGTCCCGCTCCTCGCCCGGCTTCGTTCTCATTGGCGATAAGAGCCATTCTACTACTGTGTTGCTTAAGCGCGCGGCTACGTCTTGGCGTCACCAACCCAACGTATCTTGACACCCTTGCTTATTGCTGTTGTCGATGTCGATGCCGCGCCTACGATATGTACGCCTACGCCTGCGCCTACTCTACGCCTGCCCCTCTTATCGCTTATCCCTATGCCTACCTACCCCTACCGCCACACCCACTACATACCTACTACCCGAGCTTTATATTGCCTTACCCTAGCAGTAACACTTACTTATCCGCTTATGGTTGTGCCTGTATTTAGTGTGTAGGGTACCGTGCGATTGGGTTTATTGGGGTTTTGACGCGGGGGTATCATGCGCGGTGTGGGAGGGTGAGAGGGGGGAGGAGAGGAGAGATGTTTACTTGCTTAACTGGGTTTTATGTATTTTTTTGTTGGTGTTGGTGTTCTTGTTTTTACTGCTACAGCTTTGCGTTGGGAATACACTGAATACAGTGGTGTAGATCGACTTGGTGAGGGTGCGCAGGATGTGGGAGAGGAGGAGAAGAGTGTGCATAAAAAACACATACAAGAAATCACAGTGGCCCAACCCCGAATCGAACGAGGGTCTCCTGCATATCCTCTACGCAGACACGATTATAAGTAGGCGCACTACCAGTTGTGCTATTGGGCCGTCGGCTACGAGCCTACGATGCATTTGTTTGACTAGGTGTACAGCTTTTATAGTCGTAGGGACTGCGGCGGCGCGGCCCAAGGAAACGCTGCCAAAATATGGAGCCAAGTAGGCGTACTTACCAGCTCATCATCGCCTCCGTTGAATTTTTCTTTTGGAATACAACGCAGAGCACTGCGACGCTAGAAGAAGGTGGACAGCCACCGGCAACTCCCGCATTGCACTTGCTCCTTCCCGTGAAGTCTGCAAACTCCATGTTCTTTGCTTGTTCTTGGCGACATCTTCAGGTCACATCTACAGCTTGAAATTACTCCAACTGAAGCGATTCCCATTCCACAGACCGGATAAACGGGTCCTCTTGTCCGTGTCCCGGTCCAAGAGATAGGGCCCTGTTACGCCTGTTGCGACTGTCAGTGGCACGGGGAGTCGCTGCGTCCGACACGACAACCCGTGGGCCCTTGGCAAGTACGGCTTGCATTCCGAGTGCCGTGCAAAATTGGGGTGCGAACTTGCACCGCCGGTTGACCGTCCACAGCAGCCTCAGCGCAAATGGTCCCTCAGGGCCCTGTCGACGCGTTCTTTCCTCTTCAGTGCTCCTCGCTAGCATCTCAGCGCCCAGATACTATCTCAGAGCGATTTCCTGAAGCTCCCTGGGCCCTCTTGGCTGCTCCCCCTCTTGGCTGCTCCCGGCCGCCCTCACTTGTTGCTCGCCAATTCGGTATTCGCTAATTACTTGGTTCGGATTCGGGCCTGGGCCCATGCCGTACCTCAATCATCAATATACCTCGCTTTGGCCATTGTACTAATACCGGACGGCAAAATTCTCGACCTCGCGTTGTGCGTCTCTGATTCAGGCCAATGGATGTGCTTAAACTTTCTAGGCTTTTGTACTCGGAATTCAACTCGGTCCATCGACGTGCAGATCAGCTCTCGTGGCAGATAAACGGGATGGTTGCTTGGATTCCTCCAAACGCTCACCGATTATCGCGAGCGGTAGTGGGCATCTCGGTGGAAGTTTCGTCCCCCCTCTTATGGGCGCTATTCTCGCATTAAATTCACACCCCTCATTTCCGGTTGACACGGCGTATGGTGCGTCTACAGCGCGATTGCTCGACTTTGCCTGAGTGCATCCTGCCCCGTATGCGTCTGTCTCGTGATACTGGAGTGGAATGTTCCTTTTAATTACTTACAACATCCCCAGGATTTTCAACCCATGTGCGTTCATTTCTACTAATATCTACGATCAGCAATCGACCTTTCTGGCAATTTGAACTTGAACCGTTCTGGATACGTCCGAGCCTGCCCGTGGTCAGCAGGTCGCCCGATTTGATTTTCCTACGCGTCAATCAGGCGGCGTTGCCAACGGCGTTTCGACTCCAATGTCACTCCATATACTGGCGGTGGCCCTAGGGAACAAGAGCGTAACGCTCCTAGTTGAGTTCTAGTCAGGCGGTGCGTGTCGCGTGGTTGGGTTACGGGAATAGGATCCACACTAGCTGTTTCAGATGGGCAACCGCCGGTTCGTGCGCAGCAACTGGCTGAAGCTGGGTGCTGTTGAGTGCCGATTTCCAAATTGAGGGCATGTTCAACAGCATGTCCGTGGTCAAATGTCAGTCCGCCGGAGGGAAATCGATCCCCACCGATCGATGCATCGGATTGGTTTTGATTCTACTTGTACTTACTCCCAGCCAGGCTGAACCAACAACAACAAGTGTTTTCGAAGATACACCAAGGAACTTGCCGGCGCTTTCATCTGTTACCGGCCTTCTCGCGCGACGGAGAACCTTGTTTTGCACATTGGCACCGACATTAAACGGTTGCGATCGTTCTTCGGTTTTATTAGCGTGCAGACAAGTCTTATCTACCATGAGGGCTACAGGTTGGCCCCACGTTCACCGTCGAGGCAGAAGCTAACACAAATTAGACCGGAGCGCTAACGCCTACTGTTGTCCCTCGAAATAAAGTCACCCAAAGACGATTGTCCATTATCAGGTGCTCCCCTACAAGCTCCCGCGAAGCAAATTAGATCAATCCTCGATCATGCAATGGTGCGCCTTGCATCCAGAGTCCGAAGGTCGCATGAACATTTGAACGTGGCCCTGACCTAGCACGCAATGTCTGCGGGTTGCTGCTGGCACAAGAACCATCGACGTCGAGGATGACGCCTGTGGGCGTCGATCCAACAGCGATCCAGCATGCCGTACGAGTCGCGTAGCATACCTAGCCGAAGCGACCCTACTCATTCTCGGCTCGCCAGCCTCCAGGATCCATATTTCATCCCATGTGATTGGGCCCCGCAAAATAGAAGGAAGTGTCTATCAGCATCGCAGGGCCAGGAGGCATCGGCAAGCCGCGACACGCCTTAAGTTGCTTGAGATTTCCACTGAGATTGTTCAGCTGATATGTCGCGGATGTCATAGTGTCTCCCCGCGACTACGTTTGATTCCCGGATGCGTCGCGGAGCTTGAATGTTGGGCGATGATAAGCAGATAAGCCACATCGCGGCCCAGCGCGGCCCAGCGCGGCCCCTGTTGTGAAAGTTTCAACTTCAACCGATGAAGAGCAGAGAAGGTGCTGCACCGGCGCTTGCCGCGACGGCATTGCTGGGCCTTCTTCAGCATCCAAGAACCGTTATAAGAGACCTATGGATGGAGAGATAGACATTAATTGCAGGATAGAGCAGGGAGGATAGAGCAGGATCTGTACGATATACTTCCGCAGGATCTCGCTTGAGAAGGCTTGCGATATGTATTAAGCGAGCCACGAGGGAGATGCTCCCGCGCGCGGAAGCAAATTTTTCCGATCCCCCTGTTCGAGGATTGTTGATGTTTGAAACAAATTGAAAGTGAGTCAATCTGAGGTGCTTTACTTGTATCTTCAAGTCTAAATAGCAAGCACATCATGGTACATAAGCTCAATGTATAGACTGGCTTTCAACACCAGGGTGCACTGCTTGACTGCCTCGCATAGCAAAATCACAAGTTCATACACTATAAACTTGAAGGAAGCCAAAAGTTGTGGTCAACCGCATACACGCTCGGACGCGCGTACTTTATTGTGTCGACGCTCCGCACAATTCAAGTCTCTACTAACATACTATAATTGAGATATCAAAAATTGAACCACTGTTGTTAAACGGCGAGGTCGGGCCGCCTGGGCCGTAAACCGGAGTTTGATCCCGCCTGAAGTTCCGATTCCCCCGTAAACATAACAATCGCGCCCCGCCCTAGGTTTGGTTTGTGTCTATCTATGACACATCAGAATCCAAATGACCGTAGGCCTCAAAGCTCGTAACAGTCGGTTCACAAATAAAATACGGGCTACAGCGGTCTGTTTTCTCCTTACCCGCTTTTAATCTCCTTGCAGTAAATCCAGCCCCTCTCAACAGGCCTTCTTAAGCCTCTCTTCTCCCCAATCTCCTTGCAGTAAATCCCTGCATCAACTTGAAAGTTTCAACATGCCGAGCCTGCCGAGCCTCGGCCTCGATCTCCCGATGCGTCGACGAACCGCAGTTACTGCGACCTCAAAGAAAACTCAAGAAACTCTTCATAGTAGCGGGCGATGTGTATGGGTGAAACGTAACGCATAACGGCGGCATCGTTTCGTTTCAAAATTTCAGACATGTAACGCATAACGGAGCCCCCGTTTCACATAAATTTTGCGTTACACTGAAGTTTTTCACCAAAAAACAGGTAAAAAAACAGACTCGCAAGGTCCGTCGTTTCAAGTGTAACACTTAACGGCTGGGCTGTTTCTGGTTTCAACTTAATTGTTTCAGTCACGCTGCAAAATCTGTTTCACCCATACACACCGCTACAGTAGTCCCTAACTCATAACCTCTTCCAGTAATTTCTTTCCCCGTCTGTGTCACCTTGAAAGTTGAATCCCGCCCAAAATTTTCAACATGCTTTGCCCCCGCCGATGCGAATGTGTGTCTCGGTCTAATTATAAAGCACTGAAAAGCCCGGAGTTTCAAGTCGGACCTACACAGCTCCGGAATATCTGGAGTAATCCTGGACATGCTGAATTTGTAACATTCCCACCCAGGCAGGAACCAAACCGCTGGTCTGACTTCAGTGAATTGAGAACCTGTCTGGAGCCATCACACTTCGTACTTCCGTCCCTCCACACGAACACTTCCGGGTGCCCCAGACAGTAACAAATAGACGTAAAGAATCTTGAATCTACCCTCTTATCCCCATAATCCCTGGCCACGTCGCGACGGTGAAAGGAGCGGGGCACAGCCATGTCATTCGGGAAATGCTTGTCGTCGCTTGGCTTCACAGCCATAATTAAATATATCCGACCCGAGGACGGATACCAATGCCATAAGATCCCCGCCCGGGCGCACCTTTCGTACCCAGCGTCGCTGTTTGCGTCACTTAGGCGTAGTGTCCCTGGATAAATGTTCAACCTACACAGATACTCGAGTGATGATTGTTGGCAAATCTCAACATTCAACAAGGTCATAATCAAGCCTCGAGAGTGAAGCAAAATTCAGCGGCATCCTTTATGATGCCAACGTCTCCGTAACCTGCCATGTCGTCGAGTTCACGGATTGCACTACTTCAGGTCACTCCTTTTTAAATAACGATTCGACCTAGTACTTACTTGGAGAGATCTAGGTCCACAGGCTCTGGGTTACTGTGTTTCTAAATTCTTGCCCGTCGGCCGTCGGGGTGACCGATGACTCCAAACCTTAGTTCACGCTTGATGGACTACAAGATGTTTGACATCTCCCCGTACCTGCCTCACACGCGTGAGCGCGAATCCCGCCCAAATTCAGAAATTTCAACATGCCGAACTTGCCGAGCCTCCCGCGAAGGAAGCAACACAGCTGCTATTTAATGTTGGGTGTGTGTGCAGCCTATCTCCTACTGGTTACCTCTCCAAACCGAAGACGGCGAATGCTTGCATGGTCGGCGTCATGGCCTCGCTTGTCTTCAATATGCAGGATACCACCCCGCCCCGCGTCAACTTTCAATTTCCCCACACATCCG